CTGTTGTGCTCTTAAGGATCCCATAACCTGTTTCTCTTGACACAGCAACATAGCAGCTTTCTTCACAGCAGGAGTGCATGGAAAAGATTTGAGTGATGTTGAAGATTAGTCTGGTGTGGTGTATTTTTTTTCCTTCTATCTGGTTTGATCATCCATTGTTTTTGAATTGTAGCTCACAATATGGCAGAAGAAACTCAAGATGAAAATACGCCCTCTAAGTTTCCATTTGCTTCTGGTTCAGTGTTCTAAATGGGAGGAACAATTTCTTATCCAATTCTTCATCTTTTATAATGTGAACTGTTTGTTTCAGGAATTTTCTCAGCCTACATATATTCATTTTGCTTGTGCAAAGGTTCCTGATTTCACACAGCATTTTTGGGTGCTGCTGTTAGTAATACATTATAAAGCAACAAAAAGAGGAAATGCAAGGGTGATGCTTCTTAAAATGTGTTTAAGTTTAGTGGTGGTATGAGTCTGCTTGTTTGACCAGCTGTATGTTTTGATGTAGCTGGTGCTGGACTGCAGAGATGTGCTAGGTGATATTTTGGACCTTTGTCCTGGTAAAAAAGTTGTTTTCATGGAAAATGTTCCTTAATAAAGCAGTGTGAGGAAGGAACAAAAGCATTGCCTTGCTCGTCAGGCAGAAGCAATAGAACTATTTTACTCTGGCAGACTTTTTCTTTAAAAAAACCCTTAAATAAAATCAGTGACTGCATGCATCTTGGACATTCTAATTAGAAACATTTCTTCTTAATTGTTTTTTCTTGCAATGGCTGCTTGAAATACAAGCAGTTTGCATTTTCAAAGAGCAAAGGCAAAGTACTTGCTGTGAGAAGTGTTGTTTGAATTAAGTATCTTCAGATTTTACTTTAGCTGAAATCACCCCATGTGGAATTACAGTGAAAATGTAGCAAGATGTTGACTTACAGAATCTTCTGCCTTCATCTCAGCAGTAAAGTGTGGAGCTTTCTGTAATCATGAAGTTCCATCCTTAAAACCTGATTGGTCTTGGGTTTCTCGCTAAATGTTTTTTAAGGAATAGAGATTATTAAAAACTTAGAATACTAAAATTCTTTCACATGTTTTCATCTTTGTTATGACATGCAGTATTTTAGTAAGCCTGGCTTACTATAAATTGAATTCAATGTTGAAACTGTTTCTGCAAAATAGATTTTGTGTCTTAAAAGGGTGGTATGAAAAAATAATACTTGGACTAAAATGTGATTTTAATTTTAATGTTTTTCCCTTGAAAAAAGAGGAGTTGAATGTTTGACTCAAAAGCCATTAGTGAAATTTGAAAATAATGCTATCTAAATACACTACTTAAATCTCTGTGGGCCTGGGTCCAGGAAACTGATAGGAATCTTTACAATAGGTAGGTATAGGCTTGACTTCTTAAACCCAGCACTAGTAACTTCTAGATGGGTGGATTGTTCAAGGTCTGTATAGAAGGATGTTTTTTTCCTGAATCTGCTAGGAAATATATCCAAGCTCTGATTTGTCAGCTGAATTTGGACTAGACTATTACTGCAGAGCTGAAAGGCTGTTTACAATATTATGCATAGTGTAAAATTGCTTTTTGTTTTAAGTGGGTCAGAGCCATAGCCAAGATGCCAGGCAGATGCAGGATCCTTGATCTAATAGGAGTAAAAATTAATCTTACTGGATCTTCAGGATACTTCAGCGTGCTGAGCAGATTGCTAATATGTATGCATGCTCTTCAATAATTCAATTTTCATGAATTATAAAGTTATATTTCTCTATTAAATCTGACTGAGTTTCATGCTGCTCCTGGGATTTTCTAGCATCACATCAAACATGTAGGCAAAATTGTTCTAACAGCCTCTCTCTCTCTCTGTCTGAGATTATTTCCTGCCATCTTTCAGTCACAGTTTTTCTGCTGTACTGGGCATTTAGTTTCTGACCATCCCAGTTATTTGTACCAGAGTGCAACAAAAAAAACTGGGCAGGACAGGCTGGGTCCTCACCATGAGCACAAATCCTTCCAGAGGGATGAGCAACTGATTCCGGCTCTTTTGAAAGACCAGGAGGGGCAAAGGCTGTGCTTCTGCTCACACACTTTTGTGTTTTCCAAAGAAATAAAAGGCAGAAATCCAGAGCTGGATTTCAGCTCTTGGACCCTGGAGCATCTGACAGAATGCCAGGTGCTGTGGTGAGATAATCTGCTAAATCTTTCTGCAAGAACTCACTGAAGTGTGAGAAAAAGGGTCAGTGGCACTTACACACTTCATCTCAGAGTCCTCTGCAGATGTTTTTCAAGGGAGCAAGAGCAAGGGCCTGCTGGAATTGCTATGGAAACAGAGCTTATTTTATTTATTTATTTACTTATTTATTTATGTGTGCATATATTTAAACCCTGACTTCCCTTAATGGCATATCTTGGAAGTCACCCAGTTTCAGGAGACTTTGTTCATTGGAAATTGGGGAATGTGAAATGTTGGCTGCTGGTCAGCAACTCCAAGGTCCAGCAGTTCTGCAGAAAACACTGACAAAGTGCAGTCTGAAAGTGGAGTGCTCTGTTGTTGTAGCAGAATATATAGGCTAAATTGAACCCCTTTTGTATTTGGAGTTGCATAAGTGTTATTAGACATCAAGAAAGGGCAGAACTGCAGCTTTCCAGTGATACTGGAACTCAGTAACTGTTAAAATAGAGTTGGTGGTAATAAGGCCTTTTTTAACATTATCCTCTGAAGGATTCAGAAGAGTGATGGGGGCAAGGCATTCCCATACCAGTCCAGCATCCTGGAGGGAGAGAGCAACCATATTCTACTGAATCTTGGTGTTGGTGAAGAAAGCTGAAGTTCAGTTTCATTTGTTGAATGTTAAATGCAAGGCTTGTCATTTATGCATGCCTAAAAAAGGTTGTGGAAAACTACTCAGAACTTTATAAAATATGAAGTGGATAAGGAAGGAGCTGGAAGCTCCAGCTGATTATGTTTTCAAGGTATGGTGCTTTCCGTCTCAGCTTTGATTGCATATATTCAGAAGCTTTAAAAGAAAGGTCTTGCAGTAAGAAGGGCAATGCAGAGAGGTGTTTTAGCATTGCAACACCCATAGTTTTTGGATGGAGTTTTATTTTTTTTTTTGGCAGTCCTCTGGTGTATCTGATAGCTGCTTTAGATACCGGAATGCTGAATGCAAATCACACCATTCTGTGACTGGGGTTTGCTGTTTGGTGTTATTTAAACTGCCATGTTTACCATGCTACAGCTGGCCATTAAGAGATGTACAGGAGCTGTTCCTGAACCTGAATTTGCCTTGTTGTGCCTTCCCATCAGGCACAGGACATTTTCCTGCCCCCTTGTTCCATGCAGTGTGTCCTGCCAGGACATGGATGCTGGGATGGTATATGCATTGCTGCCTCTGCAGTTCTTGGCGTCTCTGTTAGCATCATTGCATGGCTTTGGCTTTTTTTCAAGCATTGTCTGAAATGAGGAGGATTTGTTCAGGCCATTGAGCCTGAAACTTTACACTTAGGCATCTTTTACTCAATTATTTGGCTGAAAATCTCCATTAGGGTAGTTCTACTTTCTGGCAGTGCAGCTAATACTGCTGCAGCCATAGTGAAACACTCTTCTGCAAACCTGATATTGTATACCATGGAGGAATGTGTGTCTTCCTTTTATAACTTCTGTAATTTATAAAATGAAGAATGCTTGGTCTAAAGCAGAACATTTTTATGAGTGTGAGGGTTTTTTTTTCTTTAATATTTTTTGTGGACTATGGGTAATGCATTAGTTCTACAAGAGATGGTAATTTCATACCTGAGGTAGTTGAACAGCACAGTTTCAATCTGTGGAGCATCAGCCTTTTGTAGCATATAACTTAAGAAAAATTGTAAAAGGCCGATTCCACCAGAAATGCTTAATTATAGGTCTTTGATATTGCTGGCATTGGAAAGGGAGCATTCTGGATGACTTTATTAGCTGTTCTGTCTAATTCTACTACAATGTTACTGTCTCCTAAAGGCTGTGAATTAATACATGAGATTCACATTTTTTATGCAATTTCCATTACAATACTCTTGGTTTGCATGTAGGTCAGAATCCACGTTTGTTTGTCCTGGATTTTTTTTTCTCTTTTTGATTGTTAAGAGTGATATAAGAGAAGGGGCTTACTTTTTATAAAAGTGTATTGTAGGAGAAAATGAATTTTCCTTGTAAGAGGCTATTGTTTTTTTCTATAGCACTATTTTCCTTGTAGATGACCTATTGCTGTTTAAAAGATTCAATTATCTATGTTCAATGTTTAACTATAGTGTTCTTACAATAGAGACCTTTGTTCTCCAGAAAAATAAAGCCTAGTCAGTAGTGTACTAAAGTACTTTGCAAAAATAGATTTTTGATTTCAATGCCAGTCTTTAATATCTAATTAATGAAAATGATTGAATGCACAGGAGCTAATCTCCCAACAAGGAACAATTAGCAGAGAGAAATATGGCACTGAGCAATGCTGTTCATCTTTCCTACCTCTAAACATTGAAGTGTGTGGCACTAAGTGTGACTTCTCAGGAATAAATATCCAGGAATATTCAGGAATAAATTATGGTTTTCAGTGTGCAAAAGATTAATTTTCTTACCATAATTTTAAATACTGCTGAGTTGCTAAGCAGTTCACTTACACTCCTCCCTTTTTCTAGGCTTTATATGCACAATTTCAGTGCTCTATGCATTGATGTTTTACATTAGAAGAGAGTGGAAAAGAAACCAAGCTGTAGACAGTGGATTTTGCATTTCTTTTTGAGCTGTCTGATTATATATTTTTGTTGAAGTTTGTGTGAGCCGGAGTTTTGCAATTTTTTTATGGACTGCATTCAAATCCTCTGAAGCCAAGTTTTTTCAGTTAGGGCAGGCACACTTCCATGGAACATAGTGGGAGTTTTGTATGGATAACTCCTGTGAGAGTTTCCTCCAGTGATGTTGTTAGGTGTTGTTCTGAGTGATAAATTTGTTCCAATTATGTACTCTTTGTATTTGCAGTGTTCTGGATGATGAGGGGAGCAGCCTGCGTCAGCAGAAGCTTGACAGACAGGTAAGATTTTGGAGGAGGACCTTCTTGCTCCCTAAAGTCTGAATCCTGGAGTAAGGAAAGCACTGATAATTGATAGAAAATTGCATCCTCTGATTGGGGGATGCAGAAGAGAGATCTGTGGAGGCTGAAGTTAACTCACAAGTCTAATTTCCATGAAAATTTGTCTTCTGACTGTGGTTTGAGTGATTCCCACTGCCTTGGACTTGTTTTAAGCCATTGTACAATGTATTTGTTACCCCACTGATGGAGCAGTCACACCAGCCAGAAGAGGTTAACCACAAAGTTTTTATTCAGTGGATTTAGCTCTTGTGGCCGTAACCTAGTGGCACTGTGTGCTATATTGCCTATTTTCTGACTGCATTCCTACATGACTTGTACAAGGGAGTCAGAACATGAAATCTGAGGCAATTGTGTCATCCAGTTTTAATGGGAGTTGAGGTTTCTGATTTTACTTTGATTTCTGTGGTCCCCTTCTCAAAAACATTGTCATTTTTATGACAAATTCAGGTTCAGGAACAAGTTAAACTTGTGAGTTTAATTCTGTCCTTTTCTATTGCCACTATTTCATCAGCTTGCATGTCTACCAGCATCTGATTTTCAAATTCAAGTACTATTTATGCCATAATCCTGTACTTAATTCTGATTATGGTGGAGTCATGTTGAGATGTTAACACAACTTAGGGAGCTGAAAGAGTTCACTCTCCATTTTTATTCCTCAGTTTTATTGCCTCTCCTTCCTAAAAGCTAAAATATCACTGTACAGAAGCAAGCAAAAGGTAAGGTAATAGATAAGTAAAATTAACAGTTCAGTTCTCTGAGGTTGTGGAAGAGGGCTGTAATAAGGTCCCTATGGTGCTACTGGATGCCAAAGGTTTTGGTTTTCAGCAGGCCTAGCTGAGAGACTTAAGTGTTTAATTAAAGTTCATCTATTATAGCTGTTAAATTAGGCTTGTGCCCAGTATTATCACTCGATTCTAGTTTGCAATTACCTGCTTTTAATTTACAGAAACTGAAATTGGCATCTCTGCCTCGTGCCCTTGCTTACCCTCCCATTGCTTCACAGCCAGTATTCTCACACTGTTGTTTTCCCAAGGGTTATTTCCAAGCAAGCTCTGACAGCTGGTGGGCTGTTCAGAAAGATGTATTTTAATTATTTGCTGTTTTCAGCAGAAGGTGTTTCAGCAGTGGGGCTGGTTGTGGTGGTTTTTTGGAAAGGTTTCCTGTAACCCGACGTCCCAATCTCCCGCCTGCCAACTGCTGCCGCTGTAGAGCCGGGGAAGGGGTAAAGCTGACCATTGTTTTCCATCCTAGGTTGCTGCTGTTTGGAGTGCAGAAACAGATGCTTTTCTCTGTCTTTTCTCCAGAGAGCACTGCTGGAACAGAAGCAGAAAAAGAAGCGCCAGGAGCCACTGATGGTTCAGTCCAACGTGGACAGCCGGGCAAGGACGCGCAGGACGAAACATTCGGAGGAGCAGGCCCCGCTGGTTGAATCCTATCTCAACAGCAACAGCAGCACCATATATCATGGTACAGAATGTCACCTCCTGCAGCTGTATCTGCTGGCAGTCCTGGTGTGGCGCTCATTTTATGCTCAGGAGGACAAAGGCTCTTGTTTTGCATGTTTTAGTGAATCATTGACATCCTTCACTTGTGTTTGGGGATAAAACCATCAGAATTTGCAATTGTAGCCTAACAGGAGGGAGCAAGGTACCTAACTGCCATTTCAGTGCTGAACTGAGAGAGACAGCTTGTCCCTTCTGCCATGGCTATTTAAGTGTCTTCAGCCTTGGTTCATACTAAGTAAAGCTGATGGGTTCTACTCTGAATGTTCCTCTGCGTGTAATTTTGCTTAAACCTGACAGAGGTAATGATAAATTTGAAACCTATTAACTAAGTTCAGCTATGACTGAATGTAGTAATTTCAAAGACTCTGTGTTTCTGCAAAGTCCATTAAAACAGGTAGAGAAGAACATTTCAAACTTGTAAAATGTCACCACTTTTTCATTAAAGATTACAGGATCCAGTAGGGTTAGAGTCACTTCATGTGTCACACCCACAGGGGAAAAAAATTATAATGCCATTTCTTTTAAAAGACCTTAATAATCAGAAATCAATCCTAAGGAAACCAGCCATTATTTAGTTCTGTCCTCATATCACCCATGCTTTTTGGCCCTCTAAAATGGTATGTGTGTACTTTTCCTCAGGGTTTCCTAATTAATAATCATTAGGTTGAATGTAATTAATGAGGGATTCATAAGCTTCAATAGCAAAAGGCTTCCTTCCCTGACTATTGATGAGTTTGTGGAACAGGAACTGAATCAATATCTCGTGATATTGATTGGGAATGCAGTTGGCAGCTTTCTGGTTGAGAATGGTGTTAAGTGGCAGAGTACTTAGGTTTTGTGGTTTACATATTAAATTTTAAGATGCCTTTGTGAATCTAACTCTTAAAAAAAACCCAAAACAACCAGTATCCTACTCTTATACAAACAATAACTTGACCCAGCATTTAGTTAAAATTTCTGTCAGTTTTACTCCACATGTTGGAATTTTGTCTCCCTGTTGTTTTGTTTTCACTTGGTGGTCTTATTTTTCCACAAGAATAAGGTGGGTATTTAGTGGACTAACAAATTCTGCTCTGAGAAAAGCAGGTTTCAGAGTCTTTCCTCCTGGTTAGCTATTAGTGGAAATTTTTAGCTGATTACAACTACAGAATTTACTGTTAGAATCTGGAAATTGCATTATTTAGATGCTGAGGTTTTGGTAATAATGAGCCTTTTTAATCTTGTTTCTGCAAGCAAATAGGATACCATAAGTGGTTTCAGATGGAGAATTATTTTTTCAACCTAGTATTATTTTAATTATTTTAAAAAAAATAGTGATATTTCTCCTTGCTGTCTGTTTCTCAGGGTCTGGGATGTAATTTTTTAAGATTAAACTGAATTGCTTTCTAGTCTAAACCAAAAAAAAATTTGATTTAGCACAAACATTTAGTTTGTTTATTTTTTAATCAGACAAAATAGAAATTTTCTCTTTTTCCTCACACACTCAAGAGTTTATGAAAGGTGCAGAGCTGTTCTAAGAAATAATATCTTATAGCAGAGAGATGGTGCTGTTTACTAAACCCGCTGTATTGTCAGTTGATCAAGGTTTTAATTTTTACAAATCCGAGAAAAAGACATTATCATCACATAATTGGTAACAATTTCATATATGCACTAACTGAGCTAAACTGTACATCAATTTGCACCAGAGTGGACTTCCTCAGTGTAAGTGAGATTAACTGTGCTCTTAAGGTAAAAGTGACCCTTCCTGTCATATTATACCACACCATTCACTGGAATACTTAGGATTTATTCTCCCTAAATCAGTTTGTTCTAAATTTGTCTCTCAAACCTTTTTAATGTTTCACAAGGTTTCAGAGAAGCAAAGAAATATAATGTTTCTCATATTCAACACGACATTTGTTAATCCCTTGGGACAGCTCTCCTTGTAATAAACCATGCCGTTTGCAAGAGCCAGCTTAGAAGAATTTAATTACCTAGCAGGGTGTTTTATTGCCTTGTAAAATCCTTTGTTAGGCATGTTGCTTTTGAAAATATTACAAGAACTCTCCAAGTGTCCTTTTTTGGTGTGGCCTTCTCTGGGAATGTGCTTAATGTCTTCAGTTCCCCAGTTTGCAGGGTACATTTTGGGATTTGATGACCATTTTTAACTGTGGCATTGAGCTTCAGGGCTGGCTTTTTTTTTCCCCTTCAATGAAAACATTTGTATGTGGCAGTATCGGATGCATGGGACAGCTGGGCTGTTTCTAAAGAACTATTCTGCTCTTTTCCGTTCATTTGTTGCTGTTATGGGCATGCTGATTCCAAATTGAGAATGGCTCTTTGATAGGACTTGATGCTCTACTGAATGAACTACACTGCTTGGATGAGCATGTTTGTGAAATCAATTCCTGTGCTAGCAAATGCTACAGAAAGAACACTTCTTTCCACCTATCATCCTGCTCTACTCTCTCTTTTAGCTTGTGCCGATTCTGTGTAGGACAAAAGTACTTGTTGATTTCAACAAATAATTGGATGCCTGTGTGGAGATATCTCTATGGTACTTTGAGCAAAGTAGGTCAGAGATAGCATCTCAGCAATTCTCAGATGCTGGGCTTTCTGTGCTGGGAAATTCTCCCTCATACACTGCCACTGCTTATTCTGATGCCATTATCTGTGCTGGGAAATTCTCCTTCATACACTGCCACTGCTTATTCTGATGCCATTATCTGTGCTGGGAAATTCTCCTTCATACACTGCCACTGCTTATTCTGATGCCATTATCTGTGCTGCAATGGTTCCCTCATGGGCAACTCTACTCTGCAGCAAAAACTCATTTAATTCCAGAATAATTATCAGAGCTTGGAGTAGAAAATCAGTTATTCTTGTTCTGGAATAGAGCGTCAGCCTGGTGAGCTACTTGGGGGTGGATAGAGTAGAACACTGTATTTTGCTAGTTGAGCTAATTGTGTATTGCCAGAAATGCCATAATTTTTTTTCTTAGATGACTTCAAGGCAGAGAAATGACACATTGGTAGGACAAAATGGTGTTTATGTTCCCTGCCAAGGGTTGCTAGCAATTCCTCTGGGCACCATGAGACTTTTAAGGAGATGTGTGCTGCTCCAGTGAGGGAGTGGCTCTGCAGAATCCACCATGCATGAGTCTCCACACAGAACATTTCTTCTCATTTGTCCCATGTTTCACCTACAGATAAAAGTCTTCAGCTACTGTACCTTGTAAATGACTTGCACGTAGTGTATCTTTTTTAAGCCCTTTTGTTGTTGGCATAATGCCTAATTAACTAATAACAACAAAAGTTACTTGCAGGAACTGAGATGAATTAAGCTGAAAAGACCAACACAAGATAAAAATTCCTTGGCACTCAGGCCTGTAAGGGGCTCGTTTGAGCTGGAGTCCCAGCCAGTGGTAACACAGTCTTCAGCACCTGTAGGTCAGGTAGGCAGAGTTAGGCCCTACATTTATCTGCCTGCCATTTCAAGGAACAGGTATCCTTTCACTGATTCCCATGACGGTGTTCCATGGCTCTAGTTTGTACTATTTACAATAAAGCCTCTCTCACTCTCAGTACCAAATGCAGCTCAATTGCTATTTCATCATTGTAAACAGCCAGGGAAGAACCAATAGCAACTTTTTATATAGCTATTAAATTTAAATTCTACATAAAAGACAACAAAGGCATTCATTTACCAGAAGGAATGTAATCCTTCTTTGTAGGAGAGATCACTTACACTGTATTCTCCTCATGTGTTCTGGTTTATTTTCAATTCAGTGTCCTTCATAAGGACATAATGCTACATGTTTGTTTACTTTCCTTAAAATTTTACTTGCTGTCACAGTTACATCTGCTTGCTTGTTTTCTTGTATTTCTACTCAACTTATTTTGTGAAGTTTCTTGAAAACCTGAACAAACACTTTAGCCTGATTTGACATTGCAAAATTCTGCTACAAATACAGTTCTTTTCAATCTGGATTGCAAATACTGAGCATTCCTGGAGCCAAATAGCATGCAGAGATACACTAATTACTGCAACAATTTAATTACATTATTTAATTACATTTAATGCAAATGCTGAAAGCCCATTTTTACAGAGATTTTACTTCTGTGAAAATGGTGAATTTCCACTGGGGAGTGATTTTTCTTTTCACAGCACTGAAGGAAGGCAGAGATTTGAATGAGTGCCAGATATGCTTTCATTAATATTGCCATGCTTTGCAGCTGTGGTGTTTTTATATAAGACTTGAAATTAAAAATGTTTTCAATTAGATACTCTCAGAGTAATTTTCATTGCAACTTCCAATTTAGCGATTTAGATTAACCATGTGTTAAAAGGCAGAATGACTTTTTTACTTTTCTCCTCTGACATTTGGCAGCACATCTAGGTGTAATGGCTGTGTGGTGTGTTAAACAGACCTCTGATGACAATTCATAGCTTTGGATTGTTAAATTTGATGTGTCATTCTGCTATTTACCATGAATGATGAGATAGAGTTTTCTGATGAGTATCCTTAGCTGTCAGTTTTAAAAGATGACATCAGTTAACTATTAATTTAAAAAATCATATATTTGCCGCTCATCAGAGTGTCTCTCCATCCCTGTTTTCCACTGACCTTGGAATGAGTAGGTATTAGTTTATTTTTTTGAAGAGAGCAAGGAATGTTCTTTGCAAAGGGCTGTTAATACTGGGAGATCAGGCAGCACTCCAAACATCATGTGAGCAAAATACTTAACTTCCAATAAGCAGATATTCTGAAATCTTTATTTCAGCTGCAGTCTCTTCACCTTAATCTTTAAAGCATCTGTTTCATTTGTCAGCAGTCCTTACTGCACCAGTGCACTTCCAAAATAAACAAATTAACCCAGCAGCAAGGAGCAGAGGGCAGTGGGTAGCAAGTGTTCCACAGGTCTTTTTGTGCACTTCCAAAATAAACAAATTAACCCAGCAGCAAGGAGCAGAGGGCAA